GTTTTTGTTGAAAAGACAAATTTCTTAAACTTACCAAAATTGATTAAAAGAAATAGAAAACTTGAAGTCCTATTATTATTCCATTGTTAATTACTACTAAATTATTAACAATTTACAATCTTCATAGAAAGAAACATTAGATCTAAATGATCTTAGAGGCATATTCCGCCTAACTTTTAAGAAACAAATCACCCCACTCCAAAATGTCCTAGGGAACAGAAAAAAAATAACTCTTCTCTAACTGTATAAGGGCAATGTAACACTGATGCCAAAATCAGACAAGAAGTCAATAAAGAAAAATGATGAGTGATTTCACTCATAAACAGGTAAAAAAAAAATCCAAATATTACTTAGCAAACTCAATTCAGTAGTTCATAAAAAAAAAAAAAAACTTCACTAAGATCAATTTAGGTTTATCTCAGTAGAGAATACAAAAGAGAATTAAGAATTTTAGAACACATTAATTGAAACCCACTACATTTAACAGATTAAAAAGAAAAACCATGAGACACTCTCAAGTTTTTCTGTGCCATGCGGGAAATCAGGTGACAAAACTGCAAAGACTTCCCTAAGAGTTATTTACAAAAACTTAAGACAAAAAATTTTAATGGGGAAACACTCCCTTTAAAATCAGGAATGAGACATGTATATCCACTACAATCACTTTCCATTGAACACATATGTAAAAGTATGCTAGCATATTAAGGCAAGAAACAAAATTTTAAGGGAAAGTAATTGAAAGGAAGAACCAAAAATGTGAGTATTTGCAATGATACAATTATTCACATAGAAAACTCAAAAGAATTACAGAAAATATATTAAAAATAATAAAAGTTTATAATTGGATGGCTAAAGATTAATATAAAATCTATTAAATTTCTATTTTGCTAACAATAAAGAGAAAATAGAATCTTTAACACTGTTTATAATGGAAACAAACTACTAGAGACATTAGAATGAATATATTAATGTTTAATGTTCTCTCTGTATGGAGAAAGTTACAAAACCAAATTAGAAGACATCAAAAACCTAAATAAATAGAAATACATACCATTTTCTCAGACAGGAAGGCTCAAAATCTTAAAGATTTCATTTCTCCCTCAAATTGATTCAATAATTCCAATTAATTTCCAAAGAGTTTTTCATGTCACGTGTTTTAAGTTGATTCTTAAAACAAGAACAGAGGTCCAAGAACAGCTGAGACTCAAGAGCCCTTGCCCCAAATAGTAAGATTTCTGGTAATGCTATAGGATCAGTAATTATAACAGTGTGGGATAACACAGAGATAGACAAGGAAACAAGTGGCAAAGAAAAGGGAGCCAGAAACAAAACCGTGCTGGTGAACAGAGGCACAATTCTACCTATGGTATGAGGACAGCTGTAGCCACATGGAAGAAAAAAATGAATGTGGATCAGTGCCCCACACGATACACAAAAATCAATACCAGATGGATTATGAATTTAAATGTGAAAGACATCATTTTAAAACTTCTAAAAAGAAACACAGGACAATGTCCTTATAATTCCAAGGTCAGGTAAAGTTTCCAATTAGATTACATTAAAATTAAGAACTTCTGTTCACCAAAATACACCATAAAGAGTAAAAAGACAAGCTGTGAACTGGAAGAAGATATTTACAATGCATATAATCAACAAAGGATCAGTGTTACCCGTTTATCAGTTTTAAAAGACAACTCGAGAAAAATGGGTAAAAGACAAGATCAGGTATGTCACAAAAGGGAAACAGTTCATAAACATATGAAAAGATGCTCAAACTCATTAACAAAGAAATGCAAGTTAAAATCACAACGACATATCATTTTATACCCATTTGATCAGCAAATATAAAGAAATCTGATAATAATAAGTGTTGGAGTGGATACAGATCAACCATAACTCTTACACACTGCTCATCCAAGTATATGAATTGACAGAACTGCTGGCAAACTGCTGATGTACAGGGTAGTGCAACCACTTCAGAAAACAATTTGGTCAAGTTGAACATTCATACTCCATAATCCATCAATTTCACTTCTAGCAAATAGCATACCACAGTAGTATTCCAACCCTTTTTTGCTCACAAACCACCAAAAATGCTTTTAATCATTGTCACACTAAGATGACCTCTAAAATGCTCAGTCTAAGTTTAAATAATGCCAAGGATGAATTTCTTGTGGCATTTAAAAATAAAGCTGATACATCGCTGGCTTAAACTGTCATAATTATAGCATAGGATTGAGCAAAAATAACTATATACACTGATAATTAAACTTAATTGTCAAATTGTATTGCAAATGCAGTCTTGACGAGATGGGAAGTGCCTGGATTTAAAAAGGCTTTCTCTGACAACATACACTAGATTTTAAATTCTCTCTTTGTTTTCCATGGAGTTTTTCCCGCTTGGGACAGTGCCTTCCTAAGACTTGATATGGGGGACTGGTATGGTAGGAATGCTACTAGGAAAGGCAAGGGGAAAGTAGAAGCAACATGAGGCCTCTATTACAGGCCGCAGGCATTACCAATATTAGGGAAGAGTACACATGGGATTTAATGATCTAGACATTGAATCATTATCAGTGGTGCCCAAGAACTCCCTAGAAATATCTTCATTACTCCCCTGTGGGTCATATACCCCAGCATGAAAATTAGAGAAATTCTTGCAACTGTGTACCAGAAGATATGTACAAAAATCTTCATAATAGCAACACCTAGAAAGAGCCAAAATGTGCATCAAAGAAGAATGCATACTGTGTTATATTCGCTGTGGAATATTACACAGCCTTAAAAAATAATGACTTACGTCTATACTCAGTATCAGTGAATCTCAGAAACAACATTGAAGTGAAATAACAAAGTCTCAGAAAACTGTATCCAGAATTCCTTTTTCTTTAACTCAAAAACAAAAACCATACAGTACATTGTTGAGGGATATACACATATCTGACAAAATTATATTTAAAAAAGCAAGGAACAACACACAATTCAGGATAGTAGTCACTCAGGAGGTGAGCACATTCAATATTGGTCATTTTGATTCCTGGATTGGGTGTACTGATTGGTGTTCATTTTATTATTTTGCTTCACAACCTGCATATATGTCACATATATTTTGGTTTTTAAAATTATTTTCATTTTGTTACATATATTTTGATTATATCAAATATTACATTAAAAAGGAAAAAAGATTTTTCAACCATTCATCATATTTTAAAAAGCAATTAGATCGCCTCAACTGCCACTAGAGAGGTACATATGACATATCGCGGAAATTACTACCTTTACATCAACCATAGGTGCAAAGTAAATTTTTACTGGAATCAATCTTATGAGGACCACATGGAGATAAAGACTGAGCAAATTAGCTGTGAGAGATGACCCCATCTGACACAGAGCTGGAGCAGAAGCCGAGGTGGCTGCAAGCAAATTTAGCCATAAGCTAAAGTACAAGGAAGCTGGTCAGTAAAGAGAAGACAAAAAACGTTAAAAGTCTAGTAACATAAAATATTAGCAAGGATGTGAGGAAATAAATGGGTGTCCTCACTCAAAACCAGTGAGAGTGAAAATTAGTACAACCACCTTGAGAGCTTCTGTGATATTAAAGTTGAAGATGCACATATCCTCTCCAGCAACTCTACTACAAGGTGTATTTCCTGGAGAAACTTCCACATGTGTGCACAAGCAGACGAGTACAAATTGCAGGATTGTTTTTAGAGTCAAAACCCAGAAACAACTTTAAATTCCATCAATAGGGAAATGGATAATTTACGGTATATTCATACAATCGAATTCTTTACCAGTAATTAAAATGAACCAAACGTAACACAATTATCCAATTTATTTGTATATAAATCTCAAAATGTGATGCCGATCAAAAAAAGCAAGTTGCAAAAAGACACATTATCATTTGACACCGGTAAGATTTAAAACACATACCACTACATACTGCTTACGGATTCACTGTGAGTCAAGTATAAAATATGAACACGGTGGCTACCGCTAGAGATGGTGGAGGAACTCAGAGCACCTCCAATATCTGCAATTTTACTTCTTTTAAAAAAAAAAAGGATCTGAAGTAAATTTGGCAAAATAATACATTTGCAAATCTGGGTCAAGGACTGGTTACATCCCCCTGCGTATATTATGTGTGAATTATTCCAGAAATTACAAAGAAAAAGGGAAATTAGGCAAAGGTAAGAAAATTGAACAAATGAACAGAAATAAACAGACACCGAAACACAAGCTTTGAGCGCAGAGCACGAACCTTTGAGCAACAGGAGGCGTAGGAGGTGGGATCTTTAACGGGTTTCAAGTCTCTTTCCCTGGGTATCCTGGTAATAAACCCCACGTCCCCTAGGAATAAAATCCAAATTTCTTGCAATAAAAAATGTCCTAAACTGGAGCTGTAACTATAAGGAAACTGCCCTCGAGGGAGGAGTAAAATCTGTAAGATGTCTACCTTGACTCCCCTCGCCAGAATGTTGCGCAGAATCAAGTGACAATTTATGTGAACGCCATAAAACACTGTACGATCCGTTCAGTATGATCACGAACGCCCAGGCACAGCTAGAATACGTTTACCCGGCTGGCGTGTACGTCTATTTTGGAAGGAGTCCGCAGCTGACGGGCTTTGGGTGTCTAGGGCGCTTCTGGAAAAGGCACTCTACACTGGTACCAGCCAAAATTCGCCTACGCCTTGGCTCGACTTGGGGCCCTTGGCTCCCCCCGTGTTGCGTCCCCAGAATAGGCTGGCTCGACAGGCCACACTTGTCGTCAACACTACAGCGCAGCTGGCCAGACCCGAGGTGGGAGGATGCTCCCCAAAGAAGGGAGAGGGGAGCGTTTCCCTTCCAGGGAAGGAGGCCGCCCCCGGACTCGACTGCCATTCTCACGAAAGCAGGTGGCGCAGACACAAGGCACACACAACACAGAGCATGGAGCGTGCACGAACGTTCACGAACATTCGCGAACGAAAACGCGCACAAGGGGGATCATACATTCGACAGGGTCCGGGCGCGGCACACGGGCGGGGACACGCGAAGACGCACACCTGGAGCCACAGATGCCCCAGGATGGGGTCACGACTGCAGAACGCGCGGCCTCGCGAGCGGGGGACGCGCACCCCCACCCCAGAGAGGGACGGTGACACAATGGGGGGCCACCCACACGCGCCAGAGGCGCCGACGCCGAGAACGAGCGCAACACAAAGAAGCCGAGAGTGGACACACAGGCGCGTGGCCGAGGGACCCCTCGCTTATCGGGGCTGTCACCCTCCGGACGGGAATGCGCGGGCGGCAGGGGGATGCGCAAAGGGGCTACTCCCACCCTCGCACAGACGCCCCGGAGGGACCCAAGCTCGCAGAAGGGGAATATAAGACAAAGGGGACACACCCACTGGGGCCGACAAAGGCGGCCACACCCCCAGCGCACCGGCACCCCGACCCACGCAGACACACCACGGGCACCACAGAGAACGACGCGGGGCGACGCGCACACACCCACACTCACCACACACCCACGGAGGGGGTGTGGAGGGCCCCTCTCCCCGGGCATCTCGGCTGCAGCGCGACAAGGTGACACATCCGGGAGCCCCGCCGCGCGCCAGATGTGCACTCACCGGGGCCCGCAGCCCGCGAGCCTCGGACGCGGGCCGCCGCCGCCGCCGCCGCCTCGGGCCCTCCACGTCAGCCAGCGGGCGGGCAGGAGCGGGCGGCAGCGCAGGCGGCAGGCGCGTCACGTGGGCAGCAGCGCGCATGCGTAACCGTGCCCCCCGCCCCCCCTTTCCGCGGCGGCGAGCGGAGCGCTGCAGCCTCCCCCCAGTGCCGGCGGGCTCCGAGCCGCCCAGGGTCGCGGTGCGCCTGCGCCTGTGGTGGGGGGCCGTAGGGGGGGTGTTGGGGGAACTCCGTAGCGACCATGCCTTTACATTAGGTTTTCTTCTCTCGGCCCCCTGAGGCTTCCCGGACAGCGCTTGCGCAGGGGACTCGAAGCTGAGGTGGCCGAGCTGTCGGGAGGGGCCTGAGTGGGCACTTCAAGGACCCAGGGTCGAGAGCCTCCCCACCCAACCCCTAGCCTTGAGTGAGAAACCAGAAGCCCCTCGGAGAGGGCAGGGTCCGGTCCAGGGTGCCGGGGCCCAAGCGTGGGGCGAAGCCCGGCCCTGCCTAGTCCTTCCGCAGGGCTGCAGCGGCGCCTGCCCCTCCCCTGCGCGCCCTTCCGCGCGGTTGCAGGGCGCGCGCGCGCGCGCGAGGTCCGGGGGGCGTGTGCGCGCGTGCAAGCGGTGTGTGCTGGAGGTGTGTGCGCATGATGGGCGCGTGCCGTGGTTAAGGCTGGGGAAAAAAACTGCAGAGGCTGTGCCCGCGGCAAAGCAATGAGGCCTCAACAGACCGGGAGTAAATCTCTGACGACGATTGTGTTTCTTTCCCACAGGTGGTCTAAAGCCGCGGGGAAAATGGTGGAAAATTCCCCGTCGCCATTGCCAGAAAGAGCGATTTATGGCTTTGTTCTTTTCTTAAGCTCCCAATTTGGCTTCAGTAAGTACTTTCCTGATGGATGGCCAGGGCCTTATTCTGGTGTTGGAGGACAAGGAAATTACTGCATTTGTTCTTAGAATGGACCCATCTGAGCTGTGATTCTTTCTATTTCTGTCTCTCTTTTTTTTAAATATATTTTTTATTTATTTCTAGGAGAGAGAGAGAGAGACAGCATGAGCAGGGGAGGGTCAGAGAGAGAGGGAGTCACAGACCGAAACAGGCTCCAGGCTCCGAGCTGGCAGTCAGCACAGAGCCCGACGCGGGGCTCGAACCCACGAACCGCGAGATCATGACCTAAGCGAAAGTCGGACGCTTAACCGACTAAGCCACCAGGCGCCGCTACCTCTGTCTCTTTTTAAGAAAACCTGAAGGGAACTTAGATTTGGTGTTCTGTATGCCAGCCACCAGCGTAAATGGTTTAACCTGAACAAATATTTATAAAGCACCAGACAGGACTGCAAAGGGGATAAAACCTGGTCCCAATGGTCCTAGTCTCCTGGACAAGACGGACCAGTAAATTTACAATTAACAGTGTGTCAAGAGCCGTGGGAACCCAGCAGAGAGACAGGAAATCCAGCTGGGAAATCAGGGTTAGCTTTCTCCCCAACGATAAGAAGCAAGATGTGGGTAGGGCTGAATGAAGAGTGTAGAGGGAGTCATTTGGTGCCGATGCAGCCTGTGGGAGCCAGGAGGTGAAGAGAATTAGGCCAGAGAAGCCATGGGGGGCTTCACATCCCAGATCTGGCTCGGTCCCGGGGGAAGATCCCGTTTTCCAGATGAGGAAACTGAGGCTCACTGACACACTAATGTGCCCACAGTCACACAGCAGGCCCCACATCTCTCCTCTAAAGGATGTGGGGGAGGGGTGCGGGCCCTGGGTGGCTCAGCCCGTCAAGTGCCTGACTCTTGGTTTTGGCTCAAGTCATGATCTAGAGGTTTCCTGGGTCCGAACCCCGCATCTGGCTCTGCGCTGGCAGTGCAGAGCTGGCTTGGGATTCTCTCATTTCTCCCTCTCTGCCCTTCCCCCACTAGTGCTGTCCGTCCCTCAAAATGAACTTAAAAAAAATTTTTTTTTAATACTAAAAGGATGTGGGAATTATGAGGAAACCAGAGAGAAAATTGGGTGTCCCCATCCAACATTTTGGAATTTTGTGGAAACCAGGGCGGTGAAGGGCTGGGAGTGTTTCTGAACCTTAACTGCAGCAGTGCGGCCAACCACGCTTTTGGCTAGGGCAGTGTATGGAGTAAAGATGGCCTCACTTGAGTTCAAATCCTAACTCCTCCAGAGACGAGCTGTGTGGCCAGAGACCATTTGCTTAACTTCTTGAACCTTCTGATTCTTCATAAAAGGATGGTGGTCAAGTTTACTGAATGCTTTTTGTGGGCAAGACAATCCTATGAAGTAGACATTACTACTGTCATTTTACAGTGACAGTCCTGAGGTACAGGGTTTTAGTGATGTGTTCAAGCTAATCTAGCCAGTAAGTGATACAGCTAGAATTTGAACCCAGACACTGGGTTGACCTCACCCTCCTGCCTTTTAAGGCTCTTGTGAGGATTCATTGTCGTAATTTATGCAAAGCACTTAACACAAAGAAACATAAGCACTTAATAAGTGTTGCTGTTGTTACTGTTATCATCAACAACATCATTTTTTATTTATTTTTTTAATGCTTATTTATTTTTGAAAGACAGAGACAGAGAACGAGCAGGGGAGGGGCAGAGAGAGAGGGAGACATAGAATCTGCAGCAGGCTCCAGGCTCTGAGCTGTCAGCACAGAGCCCAATGCGGGGCTCAAACTTACAAACTGCAAGATCATGATCTGAGCCACCCAAGCGCCCCTGCGTTTCATTAATCTTAAAAGCTATCACAGGCTTCCAGCCGGTCCGTTGCCATCTTTTCCCTCTACCATGTAGCCACACTAAACCCCTCACCAGATCCTTCATGCTCTCTCTGTGGATCATGACAGGGAACATTGTTTTCTCCTATTTCCTTCCTTCATCTGCAGGCCCCAATCATATGCATTTTTTGTCTGGCTAATTCTCTATTCATTATTTAGGCCCCAGTTTAGTCACTTTCTCCAGGAAATCTTTCCTGACCAATAACATCACCTCCATCAGCACCAGTGTGGGCTAAGTTCCTCCTTATGTGCTCCTTATGTCATCTTTTATTACTCATTAGCACTTAATCACAGTGCAGTGAAAATCTCAATTTACTCGTCTCTGTTTCCTCCCCCCGCCCCTTCCAAGTTTTGAGCTCTGGGAGGGCAGAGGCCATGTCTTTTGGGTTCACCACCATTTCTCATGCTTCTGATGTAGAATATGACTCCTTCATCACCACTGATACAGATAGTTTGAATTTTGTCTCTGCCCTTTACCTTGGGCAGATGGATGTCACATATCTAAGATTTCATTTACTCGGCTGTAAAAATGACACATACACAGGATTGTTTTAAGGATTAAAAACAAGGAGGTTGATAGTTGTTTTTACATATTAGCAACAGTAAAAGGTGCCACAAAGACTCCACTTGAGGGAGGGAAGATTGTATTCTGGGAGATGAGGCAGAAGCCCAGCAAGTAGTGCCTCCGAACAAGAGTAGATACATTCGCCTTTAAGCACCAAGTGTCTGTAATCACTTCAACCCTGTGGGGATGAATTGTTGAACAGCTACTAAATATGAGGCAAATTGCTAGGGCTGCTGTAGGGGTCACAGCAATTGCTCTGCCCTGAGCCACCCTGGGGCGCCTGGGTGGCTCAGGCGGGTAAGCAGCTGACTCTTGATGTCACTGTTGGTGGGACTGAGCCCAATGTTGGGCTCAGCGCTGACCGCATGGAGCCTGCTTAGGAGTATCTTTCTTCTCTCTCTGCCCCTCCCTCCCTCACACACATGCGCTCTCAAAATAAATAAACGTTTTTTAAAAAGTGATTTCTGACCTTAAATTGCTAAAATATGGTGTAAGACTTAAGACATGTTTTAAAACAACAAAGATTAATGGGGGGAGAGGGAGCTGCTTAATGAGTATAGAGTGTTAGATTTGTAAGATGGTAAAGTTCTAGAGATCATTTCACAGCAATGCAAATATTCTACTTAAGTGTCGTAAGTATCATAAGAATGATACAGATAAGGAGCTAGAGGACTGAAGGGAAAGAAAAATCATTTTTGAGGTGATCAGGTAACCTTCAATTGAGCTTTTTGTTTTATCTAAACTTTGATAGATTAGATGCATGCCTTACTAACTTCTCTTTTTTCTTTTCTTTCCCTTGTCGGCAGTACTATATCTTGTGTGGGCTTTTATTCCTGAATCTTGGCTAAATTCCTTAGGCTTAACCTACTGGCCTCAAAAGTAAGTTTAATGATTTTCTTAAATAAAAATGTATTAATGCTGTTTTTCAGGATTATAGTTTTTCCTTAAGACTTCCCAAATATTAAATGTTTATTCTTTTAATGTCCATAAAAAGCCATATAGAAATTTAAAGTTTTCTAAAGGCCATCACTGTCACACCTTTCATTAAAAATGGTGAGGTGGACACACATCATTATCTCCATTTCCTCCCAGCATCTTGCTCAGATAACACTATAGAAAAAACATTTTAAAGTATAAACCCATGGGAACAAATAATGGGATAGCAGATAAGAAGGATCTACAGAATTTGAGGGACTGGATTGCAGATAGGTGAGAGGTAACTGACTTAGTTTCCACTTTTTCCATGTTGCTACCGTGCAGAATGAGACAGGATTGCAGCTTTTCATCATGAGACCATGTTAGAACTATTTGACTCTCTGTAATATACACATATTACTTTAATAAATCAAATTAAATTCAAAAAGCATGTTAACTTGGTGACGGATTCTTGAGAATGATGACTTTTTAGGTAATTACCTACTTTAATATTTTCTTCCGCAGATATTGGGCGGTCGCGTTGCCCGTCTACCTCCTCATTACTATAGTAATTGGTTACGTTCTCTTGTTTGGAGTAAACATGATGAGTACCTCTCCGCTCAACTCCATTCATACGATCACAGGTAAACGTATGTTGGAGGGAAGTGTAGGGGGACGGAAGAGCAAACATCAGCAGTTTTATCAAGAAAAGCAACTGAGAGTAGGCTACAGAAGGTGACACACACTGGCGCAGTAAAAAGAACCTGGGAGAAATGAATACAACATTATGCCAGAGGAAATGTTTACATGGCAGAAGTAAATTCTGAATATGCTGTTTATAGCATGTGTGTTCTCCCATAAAGACCACAAGTATATAATATGTTCCTTGGCAATTGTGCCTGAGAAAACCGTATTCTATCCTAAACAGGCAGTATTGATCAAGGAATGGCAAATCGGTCCGTGTAGACCTTGTCCACGAAAGCGATGTGACAGTGTGCCCCTCCTCAGGACCCTTGTGTCCACTGGACCCCAATTCTGTAGATAAAGAGCCACAGCATGCTTTTGTAGGTTTTTAAAAATTCCTAAAAGTCTAAGGATCAAAATAAATTAAATTCCTGTATTTGCTTAGATTCTAGGAAGTGAATTTTTTTAGGGGGGAAATGAAGTATTTTTTATTATACTTATGGTATTAATCATACCATATTGCTTTGTATGATTTTTTTTAACTTTTCAAAGCTTTTTTTTTTTTTTTTATGAGTCCATACCGTATATTTTGAAAAACAGTTATAGTATTTTTATATTTCTTTCTGAGAACCTACTGTATTTCCTGAATTCTTGCCTGGAATAACCACAACTAGACAATTTGTGCAAAGAGAGGATGTTGTTAAGTTTGCGTGAGTGATTTAATAGTTTGATTTAATGCATAAATAATTTAATAGCTTGGGGATGTTGGGCTAAATTTGTTTTCCAAGTCTCGGTATAATTCTGTCCCTTTGAGAAGTGTGCAAGTAGGACTTTAATCATCAGTGTATAGTTGAATGAAATACTAATTTCTTACCCTAATTAGATGCAGAAAGGACTTTTCCTCATTTTTATTCCAGTTGGGACATTTCTTTTAAAGAGAGAATTCAAGTAGTCTTAATTATGTTAACATGGTGTTTATTATTGTGCAGATATTAGCTCAGTAAGCCTTGTGGTGGGTGTCCACAAACCACAGAAACTGTAGAAGAAATTGCTCGGGTAAGCGTAGCTTTTTGTCCTCTACTTACAGATAACTATGCCAAAAATCAGCAGCAGAAGAAATACCAAGAAGAGGCCATCCCAGCATTAAGAGATGTTCCTATTAGTGAAGTAAACCAAATGTTCTTTCTCGCACCCAAAGAACTTACGCCAAAAACTAAATTGTAGTAGAATAACAACAGTATTTATTATTAAAAGTTTCTGATGTAATAATTTTGACTATAATTATTTTTTCTCTCTTATGAAAACCTGATATTGAAATGTAAAAAAATAAGTTGAACCTCTCTTAGGTGAAGTTCCATTAATATAAATATTTTCGGGGCACCTGGGTGGCTCAGTCGGTTAAGCCTCTGACTTCAGCTCAGGTCATGATCTCACGGTTTGTGAGTTTGAAACCCGCATCCGGCTCTCTGCTGTCAGCACAGAGCCCACTTCGGATTCTCTTTCTCCTTCTCTCTCTGCCCCTCCCTGACTCATGTGTGCACACACATGTACACTGTGTCTCTCTTTCTCTCTCTCAAAAATAAACATTAAAAAAATATAAATGTTCTCAAGTATTAGTTATTAATGGACAAAATAAATAAATACTGTATTACCATATACCAGACTTCTAAAAAAGAAGTATCCGTAAAAGCAAGAAGTCCTTCCAGAGAGGTATTCATGTTGGAAGTTTTAAATGGCAATTATGTCCTTCCTGCTGTTTGTTCTTGGAGGTCCAGAATTCGAACTCTGATTTGGGAGAGGGGTCCATTTAATTTGTGTGTTCTTGCCATCACATTTGTGTCTAAGACACAAAGAAACATTTGTTGATTACTTCCTACATACCAGATATTTTTCTAGATACAGCAATGATGAGATTCTGAAAGAGCCTACATTTGAGAGGCAGATTGAAACAGACTAAGCAAATAAAATATTTGTGATGCGTGCTATGCAGAGAATAAGGTAGTATAATGTTCTAGAAAGTAAAGGGATGACTACTTTAGATCAGGTGGTTAGGGAAGGCTGCTCAGAGAGAGGCAGTCGAGATTGAAATTTGATTAGCAAACACAGGAGCCCATCAGAAGGATCGGAGACAAGGGACACCTTGCAGGTATGAAGCAGTCAGGGCAGAGGCCTCCCTGTGGGAAGGAGCTCCATGTGTCCTGAAGACCAAAGGCCAGCAGGGGGCCCAGAGTGCTCAGTGCAAAGGGGTGTGGTCAGGGGAGCCGGGACAGGCCGGTACCACCGCAGTGGCCTTTGCAGGCCAGCAGAGGAAGTCTGGACCCAGGTGTCCATGTGAGGAGCTGGTGGCCCTTTAGATACTGAGCTATCAGGAGCCTTTAAGGGAAGGCATGACATGGCCTGATGTGTATTTTTAAAAAGTCGCTCAGGCCGGTAGATAGCAGATGGATTCAGGAGGGAGAGTCAGGGATGGGACAAGAGTATGGAGCAGATTGGTCGCAGTGGAGTTGGGTGTGTCACAAAGAGTGTGTCTCTTTGTCAGAGACACAGCTGACTGACTGACCATGCGGAGGTAGGCAGGCCGCTGAGGGAAGTTGTGATCAAGGGCCCCTCCTGGGTTCTTTCGGATCAAAGCAGATGGTTACGCCTTTTACTGAATCAGACCGTATTTGGGGAAGTGTAGTTGAGGGGGTTGGAGAATTTGGTATATGAGCTACTTGGACCGATGCCACCTTGTGAATATCTGGTTGTGTCCATGTGAGATTAAAAAGCTTAAAGTTTAAAAAACCTTATATAACTGCAAGAGTATACTCACAGTTGGCCAGTGGGACCAAATCTTAGCAAGCATTCAAGGCCTTCTAACTTTTAACACACTAAATCTCCACATAGAAGGGGAGGCACCCGTTTTTGTTGCAGATTTACTATGCCTTCTGTAAAATGAAGAAAAAGAACCTATTAATTTTAAATAGTTGAGAAAACTAGGACTTCCATTTCAATTACAGTATCCCTGCCCAATGAGCATGAGATGGATGACAGGAATCTGCTATTTCCATTCTGTTGTTTGTCTTAGTTCCTGTATTTTTGTGGTAAGAGCATGTCACCACATTTAAGAACAGTTGAAGAGGACCAGTCACGTCCATCCAGGATAGAATGGTAAATAAACGGCACTCTGTTCATACATTGGAAAACCATATAGCCATACAAACAATGGGTCACTGCCTTATCTGACAGGAATCAATATCACAGATCTATGTTGGGGGGAAAAACAGACATAAAACAATATATGCTGTATGATTTCACTTACGTGAAATCAAAATCAGGAAAAACTACCCTGGTGATAAATAGTAGAATAGTGGTATTAACTAGGAGAGCCATGAAGGAGCCTGCCGGGGGGTTGAAAATGCCCCACATCTTGATACGGGTTGTAGTTACTTGGGTATAACAATCATTGCGTTAATGTCATTTAACTTAGGCTTTTTAAAACAATTATGGTTTACATACAATATTGTATTCATTTCAGGTGTACAAGTTAGTAATTCAATATTTTTGTACATTACAAAATGCCCACCCCATGTAAAGTTATTACAGTATATCGAATGTATTCCCTAAGCTAAGTATTACATCCCTGTGGCTGTTTTTTTTAAAGAAGTCAGATATTTTTAAGTTTGTTTTTATTTATTTTTAATGTTTATTTTTGAGAAACAGAGCATGAACAGGGGAGGGGCAGAGAAAGAGAGAGACACACAATCTGAAACAGGCTCCAGGCTCTAGATTGTCAGCACAGAGCCTGACGCAGGGCTCGAACTCACGAACCCATGAGATCATGACCTGAGCCAAAGGTGGACACTCAACCGACTGAGCCCCCCCCACCCCCGGCTTATTTTATTAGAAGTTTGTACCTCTTAATCCCCTTCACCTGTTTCACCCGTCCCCTCAACCAAGATTCGTGCTCTTGAAGTCACTTACACATCAATGAAAAGGTAAAGAACAGTATCGATGTCCCATCCCCAGAAATTTTAATTCACTGGTCTGGAGTGGCCCCCAAGCAGGGATAGTTTTTAATGACTCCTGGACGCTTTAAAGCCACAGCCAGGATTGAGAACCTCCTGCCTTAATCCATTGTGTTTAACTGAGTCTGTGGTCAACCAGGGAGCAGCTGTGAGCTTTGAGAGACTGGGCCCTCCCACCGTGTGAGACTCTCGCCCATATCAGCCACGATTCCCTTGTGTCCCCCTCAGGCCAATGATACCCCAAGAAGGTGTTGAAATGGGTGAGAAAAAGCGCTTCATTACCTCCAGCACCCCACTCACCTCAAGCCCCTTATTAACTTTTCACTCTGTTTCCCAGTCACATCGTTCTTACAGCTCATAAGATATTATGTCCTTATGTCGCTGTTTCTTAGATCATGTGCTGCAGTTCTTTCCGGGTCTTGGTTTAGCGCAGCAATTCTGGCCATGTTTTTTTAAACCTCAGGACCCCTAGTGTTCCCAAAGAGCTTTTGTGTATGTGGATTCTATTTAGAAATTAACAGGAATTTTAAAAATAATTGTTTATAAATAATATATTCATTACATTTTGATATGTTTAAACAACACTTTATGAAAAGCAATTATATTTTCTAAAAGAAATTTAGTGAAATGAATGTAAATGTAAAATGTAAAATGTAAAAAATTTAGTGAAATGAAAAAATGTAAAACAATTTTTGCAAGTCTCTTTAAATGTCTGGCTTAATGGAAGACAGCTGGGTTCTCCTAGCTGCTTGTGTGTGCGGTCCCTTCCAGAACCGCATGTCACAGAGCTTCTGGAAAACCACTGCACACTTGTGAGGGACTGAGAGCGGAAAAGACAAATAGCATCTTAACTGTTTTAGGAAATTGGTTTTGACCTCACGGACCCCCTGAAACAAGGTCCCCAGACCACGCTTTGAGAACCACTGGTTAGTGGGTCTTACTAGAGTGCGTGCGTGCATGTGTGTGTGTGTGTGTGTGTGTGTGTGTGTGTGTGTGTAGGATACACTATTGCACTTAGTAAAGATAAGTATCTTGATTGAATACCTCTAATGGCCACCTCAGATCCTCTTGGTTCCACACCTTATTGTAGCCACTGATGTCCCTTTGATCAGCCACAGGTGCCACTTGACAGTGCACCCTGGAGAGAGGGGAGGTCCACCCCCAGAGGACACCATGGAGCTCCATGTGGGGCGGGCATCCATCCCCCAACGAAGCAGTTGTGAGCCTCATTTTCAAGAGCTGCTCAGGAGGCCCTGGAAGACTGAGCTTTGGTCACCATGGCAACGGTGACCTCAGTGGGTAGCGCAGGCCTGAATTCTCAGTTTTGCTTCCTTCCTGCCCACTCCTTCCCAGCGTCACTTTCCAAACAGACTGCCTACGCACAAGCCTTTGTCACAGGCTCTGCTGTCATGAGAACCCCAGCTGAGATGTGGTTTTTCTGTAAAAATTTTGCTTCAGTTACAGGGCTGTGATATGTAATGCATTTTTCCCTGACGCATGCTGTAATTTAAGAAAAAGATTTGAGGGATGCTTGGGTGGCCCGGTGGGTTAGGAGTCAGTCATCACCTCAGGTCATGCATGATCTTGCACTGTAGTCCATGGGTTTGAGCCCAAGTCGGGCTCTGTGCTGACATCTCAGAGCCTGGAGCCTGCTTTGGATTTTGTGTCTCCATCTCTCTCTGCCCCTCTCCAGCTTGTGCTCTGTCTCTCTCAAAAATAAATAAACATTAAAAACATTTTTAAAAAATACAGTGACCATTTTAGTACTGACATAGTCAGATGTTCGAGTGCTGCATAAAAATGAAGCCAAAACCAAGGTTTCTTCCTCGAAGATCTGCCATGAGGAAGGCTGCCCTGCAGAGCCAGACACGGTCCAGGCATCTGCACGCACTAGAGAGCGTGGTGCGCTGCGTCCTGTGTGGCCCTGACAGATAGCAGACAACTCCCGTGCAGTCAGTGTGGCCGTTCCTCACCCATCAGATAAGTCACACTCCCCTGTGAGTGTTCAGGAGTGTGGAATATAGTGCAGGAATGTGTCCCCCCAAGAAGGCAGACTGTTTCAGTCACTGAGGCAGAAAGATGACGAGAAGGAGGATGGTTTCCCTGCACTGGCCACTTAGGTTGTCTCCTGTTTTCCCCTATTATGAACAATCACCAGAAATCTTTGTGGATCAGCTTTGTGAAATCGTGCCCTTGGGCTACGTTCCTGGCATTGGAATTGTTACAGGGTCAAAGGAATTGAACATTTTTAAGAGACTTAATGTGAGGAATAAGCCCACCAACCCAAACAATCAAA